TCATGAGTTGAACGGTTCCCCAGGGAACGCCGGACTGCGCAGAAGGTCAAAGTCATGGGCCGGACCATCTAAAAGTGTCTGATCGCCGGTCTGTGACACAGCAAGTTGGGGGTGGGGGTTGAGGGGGCTAGACTGAAGAGGACTGAAATTGAACACATCTTAATTAAAGCCCACAGACAGCAAAACAAAATGTTTTCTAGGCAGCCTGTCAAATGGGGCTTAAATTTAGCTCTGCTAATGAATCTGAGCTGCTAACTGTTATTTCTTAAGATAATAAGACTCTCACGGAAGCTGATAAAAAAACTGTAGCGTGTCTTTTTTTTCTACTGTTTTGTTACTTAAATATTTTCCAACAATGAAGACAGTTTTCCAAAAGAAAAACATGGGAAAAGTCTATGCAAATAAAGGGGTAGTAAACATCTCTCTTAATAACTAGTAGGTTTCCAGACTACGGGGCTGGCAAATGGAACGTCTGTGTGCATAGCCTTGTTTTAGAAAAAGATATTCTCATTTAATGGGACAATTTCAGTGACAGATTCTGTTCATCGTAAATTCTCTCTTTTCCTTTTTCTCTCCCTCTCCCTCCATCGCTTCTTGAAAGAGATGGTACATTAATTTGAGAGATCAATTCACCTGGGGTGGAGAAGTTTTATATTAGTGTACCTTTTAATACGGTGAAAAGGTAGGGCATCTTTTGAAGGGTTTCACAGTGCTCCCATATCACTGTTTCTAAAACGGAGTGACTGGTGTCCCTGGGGAGGCTATGACCTCTTCCTCAAGAGCTCAAAAAAACAAAAACAAAATACAAAACAAAACAAAAAACCTCAGGGGAAAATGAAGGGGAGGGACTAAGGAGAAGAACTCTTTTTTTCTTTCTCCTTTTAGAACTTGAAAGCACCAATAGACTAGGTCTAAATACTCTGCAAAGAAAGCCTCACTCAATTTAGAAGACTTCAGTGTTCTGTTGAAGCAGAAATTAGGCCTTGCTCAAGGGAAAGAATAACCAGAAGCCAGAAAAGACAAATTACAACATGAACTATTTCTTACCACCAAAAAAAAAAAAAAAAATTCCCCTCCTATTGGCCTTCCCTACAAGCTCTCCAGTTTTAAGGCACTCTTGATTTAGCAGTAGAGAGAATCTTCCCCAGTGAAAATGTAGGACCAGACAGTCTCTAGATTTTGCTTTGATGGTACAGAGAAACATTAACCTTTTCACTGGTTAGATGAAAGGTAAGTAAGTTGTTTGGAAAGGTATTTTTCAGTTACTCAAACTTTTTCTCTCATGAAGAATTTAGCTGACCAACTTGTCAAACCAGAGTGCCACTTTCTCAGGCTGTGAAAGGCTGCCCACAATTTGACTGAAATTTCAATCCACTCTTGTGCCTTGTTCAATGCATGTGTATGTGTGGGAGTTGTAAATTGAGGCCTTAACCACCAGAGTTAATCTCTTTTTAAAATCTGTATTAACCTTAATGATTTGAAGTGCACTGTCCAACACTGGGCTATTGAGACCGAAGAAAAAACTAACCTCGACTATCAACAGTTTATTAGGGGCTTAACTGAAGTGACCTACTGTAGTAGTGTTCCGCTGAACAAGGCTATAGGCTTTTTGTGGAAAGGGAAAGAATTGAGGGTTTCATTAAAAAGTAATTTGTGCTTTATACTCATTCATTCAAAGAGAGGCTCAATTGCTCTTTATTCACACACAGTTAATACAGTATCACAATGTTTCTCAATGAACGTGTTGTAACAAAAGAAAAATTTTACATTTTGAAAGGGAAAAATTCTTTGTAACTACAGTAAGATTGATGGCTAACTTAAAAAATTATAGAATCTTTCTCTTCCTGTGTTCATGTTTAATGATGGAATATTATTTAAAAATTTCTGCTGAAACAATGGAAGCTTAACTTTACATTCAGATCACTAAAAATATCTTAAAAATAGAGCAAAGTTGGTCAAGTATTAATTTGTCTTGTTAGACTTTTCTAGAAAAAAGTGTTCTGAAATCAACGAAGTATCTTATTGTAATAGCCTCATTTGTATCACGTCAGAAAATATTATTGCATTAGCAAAGTTATCAGTGATTTAAAATCTCCCCTTCTCTCCATCTACAATACTCTTATATGATGCTAATTTGAGAATTTGAAGACACTATTCATTCAATTCCCTCTTTTCTAACTATTACTTAATATCTTGTAGAGTTTGACTTTAAAGTTTCAAACTTTAGAGTTTGACACTGAGATATATGCCCTATCTTTAAAGTTCTCCTTTGAAGGAATAAGAGATAAAGTATACAAGGAGCTTACTTGTGCCCCAAATTTAATGACAAAGTCCAGGAAACATCAGGATATAATAAGTATCTACCCTTTTCAGAAGTAAAGAGTATTTGTAAAACTGGTAGTATATTCAGATATTTTTCTGACTTAAATGTATGGTCCTCAATTTTTGCCACCATCAGAAATGTCATAAAGACCACAGAAGGTCTAAGAGTATGCAAGGTCAAAGACTGAATTATCTTTTTGTCCCTGAATAGTTCAACATCTCTCTTGTTCAATTCAGAGCACATTAGATTATAAGGTCAGCATGGAATGAGGAATCATTAGATTTATATCCCTAAAACTGGAGGGAAAAAAATGAAGACTCTGTTATTTAGTATTCCCCAAATTGATGTTCATTTTATCAAATCAAAATTATCTCATTAAATCCTTAGGGAAAAGGCTATTGTTATTCACATCAATTTACATAGAACCGTTGGGAAAGAAATATCTCTATTTTTTCCAGCTTTAAAAGAACATGTACTTTAAACTTCCATAGTGGCATACAGGCCAACTGGGTTAATGTAGTTTGCATATTCATGAAGTTTTAAAATCAATGACAGCTTCTCTCCAAGAAAAGACAAACTTATACAATTTGCATTCAATTGTATAATGGACAGGTATCTAAGCCTTTGAAGTAAATGGTACTTGAATTTTCCTAAAATAAATTTCTGTGCTCATATTAATTGGATTATAACTATGCTGGAAATAAAATTCATAAAAAAGAAAATGAATAAAATTAACATTCACAAATTGTTTAGTACAAGGAACCAAGTCAGCATATGTGCAAAGAGAATTCAAATGATCCTCTCAACTGCTATTTCAGGTATGCCTATTTTGAAAAAATATGTGACAGTTGTTATTATCTTCTTGGTTACAAATGAGTTGATAATTACCATTTTAAAGAAACTGTAAACTCCCAACATTTTTATTTTTATCACGCAATAAATAGTCACTTGATAATATGCAAAAATAAAATTTTAAAATATTACAGTTTTGGAACAAGCATCTGCTATTTTAGTTTGAATGCATGCTATTTTTTCACTTGGTCTTAATTCTGTTAAATGAATTAAAGAAGGACACGATGATCTGCAGACCCTTGGATGGTAGGAAATATATATTTCTTCCTTTCCGAGCACATTAGATTATATGTTTGTTCCTCGTCAGGGTCATCTTGCTGAGCATTCACAATGGTAAGCATATTACCACAAATAGTAAGTGGATATTTTATTTCAGGAAAAGTAAAACTTGCAAAAAAATTGGTCAGGACAATCCTACTTATTGTCCAGTTTGTGATGGATAATTTTTTTTTTTTTTGAGTTGGAGTCTTACTCTGTCACTCAGACTGGAGTGCAGTGGCTGGGAGCAGCCACTGCAGCCTCGACTGGTGGGCTCCGGCGATCGTTCCGCTCAGCCTTCCATGTAGCTGGAACTACAGGCACGCGCTACCACATCCGGCTAATTTTTTGATTTATTGTAGAGATGAGGTCTCACCAAGCTGCCCAGGAGGGTCTCGAACCCACGGGCTCAGGCAATCCACTCACCTCAGCCTCCCAAGGCATGGGATTACAGGCTGAGCCACTGAGCTCGGCAGTGATGGATAATTTAAGGATTGTATTAATGTCCCCCAAATTCCTGTGAAATTAAATCACCAATGCATGGACACATAGTGGTAAATTGAAAAAGATAGTTTAATTCTGGAAATTGATGAAATAATTACCATCAATCTATTTATTAATATGTCATGGAAACAGCTATACCCAAATCATGAAGTTTTAAGAGACAAAACTAATTTGGCATTTTTACAGGCTTGTTTCCTAGCTAGAAATATTTTAAACAATCTTGGTTCTCAGTTTAGATCCAGAATTATCTCTGGGATGTGCTAAGAAATTTGGACAACTAAGGAACTGGATCAGCTACCCAAATAGCAAGAGCTCATACCAAGTTATTGAGTATTATGACCTAAACTTTTCAGTGAACTATCAACAGATTTCATGCATGTTTGAATTATAAGTATTAATGCTATAGGGAAAGCTGATACTGTCTGAGAGAAGATGATGCAGCATTGCTTTAATACCTAGAAAAATGACAGTAGCTGAGGAAAATATTCCCACTAAGTTGATTAACCTTTGGAGAATACAACAATTTTAAAGTTATTTTGCTTTTTATTATTTATGTTTAACATATTACTTTGCCGTTAAAAAGCAGAGGTAGTATAAAAATCAGGGGGTTGGCAAATCTTTGTAAGACCAACCCTGAATCTTTACATTTAAATTATTTACTGTGATGGTTCAGTCAGGTGGGATTCAGGATTAAATTTTTTTTTTTTTGAGTTGGAGACTCACTCTGTCACTCAGACTGGAGTGCAGTGGCCACTCTTGGCCACTGCAGCCTCGACCAGCTGGGCTCCGGTGATCCTTCCCCCTCAGCCTTCCAAGTAGCTGGAGCTACAGGTGTGCGCTACCATGCCTGGCTAATTTTTTTGGTTTATTGTAGAGATGAGGGCTCATCAAGTTGCCTAGGTGGGTCTCTAACCCGCGGGCTCAGGCAATCCACTCACCTCAGCCTCCCAAGGCGCAGGATTACATGCTGAGCCACCGAGCCCGGCTAGGATTGAATTATTAAATGGTGTAGACCTTGTGTGTTGCTTGATATGAGCAATAGGAGAGTTGCATCATTTCTCACCTGTGACATCAGCAGCCATCAACCCTTCTGCTCTGATGACTTTCACCTGGAGAAATCCCACGTCTTTCAGGTTGTGAAATATCCTCAGTGGGCTCTGCAAGACACGAACATTGGAATTAGAAAAGAAAGGTCCTAAGGAGACTCAAAGAATGTACTGAGAAAACACCAAGTTTTATAGTTTATGTCAAGATGCTGCTAAAGAAGTTTAAAGGGTCATTTGCGTTTTTCCAATTCAAACTACCTTTCCCCTCCATGCACATTTATGTAGATAATTGTTGTTATACAAGTAGGTTTTCTGAAAAAATAAAAACATCATATTTATCCCCCATAAATAATTACCAATAGATGGTGAACAATAAATTATACAATAGATATGTCTACTTTCTTCCTTCAATCTTCTACCCAAAAAAGTGCTCCCAGACATCTTTCATCTGTAGATATAATGGTTTGAAGACGAGTGATTCTAAATATTAAATCTTAAGTTATTGATTATGTAACACTTTTCAGACTTTGGGGGTAAGAAAGTCAACATTAAACTCACTATTATTTTCTACAATTTTCTTCTTGGTGAGTTTTGGAAATTATATGTACCAGATGAAGTTTAAATTATCTAAAGACTATTTTCCAATATTTATTTCAAAAGGCATGTAGTTCTACATAAGTAAAAGAAACACATAATCTTTAAATAAATCACATTGATGACAAAATAAAAACTGGTGATCAATTTCTCTTAAATTTATACTTTTATTTGTTACTATAGTATGGATAGCAGTAGAAGTATGGATACTGATAGAAAAACCAGATCCAAATGATAAACTCTATCTTACTTCATAAATTAACAGTGGTGGTGCCTTAATAAGTGTAGTACTTGAAAAAATTGAAAGAGGGACACTAATGCATATTTCTGAAGTCTAATTAATGGACATAAATACTTGGAGAGTAATATGAACTTATAGAATACTGATATGTATTTGTTTATTTACCCTTCATAGTATTTTTCTTAAAATGAGATCAATACTTCTCAGTAAATCAAAGGTACTTCTGATCATAATCTTGAAAATGTTTCATGATCAAGGAGCATAACATACTTTTGCATAATAAAGTTATCTGTTAAAATGTTGCTAGAGTAAAAACCATTCCCATCCTTGAATTAATAATGTGAGAATGCTGACAAGCAAAAGCTTATTGAGATATGTACTTTATCAGTCCCGTATGACCAGTCATTGTTTACACTGCAGCTATAACCTTGGTATATTGAGACAAGGAAATGCAGATATATGAGTAATCTCACAGCCCAACTTTTTAAAAAGAGGGTTTAGCCCAAGGATTAACTCTTAATCTTTTATTGTTTCTAAATAGTTGTTTATCAATAAGAATCTGTTTAAGATATCCAAATGACAGTGTTCAGTAAAAATGCACTTCTCTCTCCATTTAAATTCCTGCGAATTAAGGGTTAAGTGAAGGCTTTGACAGTAGTGTTATAATTCGGAGGTTTGTATGCATGTAGTGTTCCTACAGTAACATCAAGTTTGAGAAGCTTCTCATCTCAGAGTTTACCGAATGTTATAAACCAGAGAAGTCTCCTACCCTAATGACAGGGAATAGTTTTATCAAGTGGTTCCTGTACTTTAATTTTTGGGAGCAATTTAAACCACATTTCATTGTGACTAAAACAAATATCATCGTCCTCATGTCTGAGAATACCATACTGGTAACCACCTTCCACAGACATATTGTCTTCTAGTGCTTGTGATGTTCTGCTTCCCATTTGGAAAGGTAATTATTGTTTGAAGGTTTCATTTCCCCAAGTCAGCCGACACTCAGTAATTTATTGCAAATATCAGCTATTTAGGCCAGTGATACACAGATTATAACAAAGACTTCAAAACAGAAAATAACTACAACCATTAAAAAATATAACTTTAAGTAATGTTTCAACAAGAGGTATTCTTGCTTTGTTATTTATGGTTTTTTTAGAAGGCCTAAAAACCTGGATGGCTTCTGAAGCCAGAAATTTCCATAGCAGAGGAATCTATGATTTGCTGTGAATCCTTTCAGCCCTCAATAGATGGGAAAAGATTGAAATGCTCTGGAGAGGAGTCCTCTTTATTTTTTTAATGAAAGGCTGTATAATATATTTTCTCTATGGCTGCAGCAGCTGTCAGGGAGAGCATCTCAGTTCAGCTCTATTACGGGAGAGGCAATACCCCATCCTATGGCATCAGATGCTCTGAGGGGCCAGAGCTGATTGACAGCTTGTCACCGTGACGTCTTATTCCATCTCTGTTATGGAGAAAATTAATGTCACACCACCAGCCTTATGACTCGCTGTCATCTTAGAACCGCTCACCTTTTATCAATGCTCTAAATAACATTTCAAGCCCATCGTCTCACGGTGGACAATCCGGTCAAGGGACATTAAATCAGATGACTGTGAAATGTCATAATAAAAATGGAATGCTAACAACTTCTTCTCTAAACTAGCTCCTCTGGTTTTTAAACTGTGACAAGGGGGAGCAAGGGTTCAGCATACCCGTTCTGAAAAGGTCATACAATCGCTCTTGGTCTACTACCCATTACTACCCGCCCCCTATTGACCTTCCCTCCTTCCCTCCTCCTAAAAGAAGAAAAAAGAGAAAAATGGAATTAGCCATCTTCTCAGAATGTGGTGATCAAATAATGGCTTACATAGTAATGTCTGTTTAATTTGTGGGGCTTCCATGTTTAGCAATGAACAGCTAAACGACAGCAGTGGAGGGCTTTTTCAGAGCTGTCTCATAGCAGAGTGGGCCCAATTCATTTGCTTTCCTGACCACAACCAGTGCCAAATCAAATTCTTAGGTTTGACCTAAACTTTAAAAAATACACATGTTCTTAAAAGAAGACATATAAATAATTCTTCAAACAAATAACTTTATGTTTCTCCATACTATTTCAGACGTGATGTGGCATTCATTCATTTCATTATCCATATAATAAAAAGAACACACTGAAGCCCTAAAATACAAGTCTTTGTTCTAGTATTTCTATGAGAAATTATAATACAAGAGCTATGTTGCTCATAATAGCTTCTTAGCAAGTATGTTCTAGAAGGAGGTAGAGACTTCTGTCTGAAATTCAGGGCTGAAAAAAAGTATATTTAAACATGGGCTCACTTTTTAATACATTTAGCAGAATATAATCTGAGGATTCACTCAGACAGCCACACAACATTTTATACTTTATTAAAATGATGTTTGAAAAAAGGGGTGGAAACATATTCAAATTCTGAATGGCAAGAGCTGATTTAAGGAAGTCCACCCAGCAAAAAGAAAAAAAAAATCAATAATAGGTGGATTACTTCTAATTACCTCAGCAGCAGTATCATCTTAATATATGGGATAATATCAAAATATTAATCCATCAGCTACAGTGTTATAATACCTAGAAGAGTTTTTTTATATTAATATACTGACTAATTCCTTTAAAATTGTTTTAATTCATGAGGCTCACTTCTGGTAACAGGAGAATATATTTTGGTGGATACCAAAATGTGAAATAATCCTCATAATTGCAATTATATATTAGAAGATGCCACACAATACCTTAGGCTCTTAGGTGGTTTAAAATATATATACTATTTAGCCTTGCTAAGTCACCTCTATTAAACTGTTTATGATAACACCATTGGTGGGTGAGTTGTACAAGCATTAGCAGACAGCTGATTCAGTGGAGATAGCCAGAATAAATTTGCTGAAGCGCACATCCTGCTAATCTGTTTGAAGAATATTGTAGAGCATTAGTACCAGCACTTCATGTTATCTGCACAGGCTGATAAGGTACATCTTTATTAAATTCAGTTATTGAAAGGATGTCAGTCAGCAAATAGGAATATTTTAAAAATCTTAAAAAAAAAAAGCAGTTCTTTCTTAGTCAGAGCTTGGTTTCATGGCTGAGTGTCTAGAGGAGCCTTCTAAACACCTGGCAGCATTGTACAATGCAAGCTTTGTAATTTTAAGTGGAAAAGCTTTTTTTTCTCAGCTTCATGGGTACTGAGGCATTTACTTTTTCAAGCCGCCATTGAAAAAGAATGGTGGAGTAAGAGCTCCCCTCTCTGCTGATTCAAGAAAACTACATGATGGGAAAGACATTGTGGGAGCATGCCGGGAAACAGGAAGATTTGGTTGTGAATATTTTGGTTTGGTAAAATTTGAGGAGGGTGGTTATTTTAGTGACTCTCGACTTCACACTGTCATTTCACTTGATTTCAAGAAAGGAGGTTTACTTTTAGTTTTATTTCACATTTAACTTTAAGAAAAATTACAAGAATTGAAGGGAGGCTTTTCTGAACAGCTGAAAATAAAAATCCTTCTGCGAATACTCTCTGGCTACCAAGCTACTCATTAATGTAAGTGCCATTAACTCTATCTCAAACTTGGAAAGGAAAAGAAATCTTAATTGCAACTACAAAGAATCAATGAATTAATTTTAAAGTAATGTTGTATAAATTTGATGGGGATTTCCCTGAAGAATAAAATCACTGAGTAGAATGGTAGAATCCAGAACTTGCCTCAGAAGAGAGTCTAGAGAAGACCAAGTCTCTAAACATTGGTGGGTAACACAGGGACTTCTGCAAAGGTCTGTGTGGCATTTGTATTTGCCCAGAAGTTTACTTCTGTCAATTCTTCTGCCAGATAGCTTCTCAGAAATGCTTCTATCACTCCCAGTGAATTGTTTACAACCTCATTCAGTCACATGTGACTCTGTAAAGGGGAGGGTTACATACGTACATATCTCTTTAATATCTCCTCCCGTTCCTTCTGGTCCTCCAGGGAGTTGACAGAGAGGTCAGAGATGCTGACTGTGGCTGATGCTGTTAGGGTGACCAGGAGCACCAGGTGTCCCTCACCCTCTTCCAGCTGCAACTCCAATTTGTGTGTCTGTTCCCTACTTAGGGCTGACAGGTCAACCTGGCACCTAGAAATAAATGTTTTGAATCAGCAAGTGGCTTTTTTCCCTCCATATCAAACAGCTGCTCAGAGATAGGTGACAAATAAATCAAAAGAAATACTATTTGTAGCACTGAACAAACACATCTTTCATGTCAGCTTTTTTTTTTTTTTTTAATTTGAGTTAGGGTCTCACTCTTGTCACCCCAGCTGGAGTGCAGTGGCATAATCACGGCTTACCACAGCCTCAACCTCCTGGGCAGGTGATCCTCTTGCCTCAGCCTCTCAATATGGGCCTCAACCTCCTGGGCAGGTGATCCTCTTGCCTCAGCCTCTCAAGTAGCTGGGACTACAGGTGCACCACCATGCCTGGCTAATTTTTTTATTTTTTATTTTTAGAGACAAGGTCTTACTATGTTGCCCAGGCTGGTCTTGAATTCCTGGGCTCAAGTAATCCTCTCACCTTGGCCTCCCAAAGTGTTGGGATTACAGGCGTGAGTCATCATGCCCAGTTAGCTGACTTCAATGACAAAATTAAGACTCTGATTATTTTAGGGCCTATAATTGCTTATTTCTTATAAGGTACAAAAAATGTGTTAATTTGAAATTCGATGATTACTTACTGTATTAATAAAGTGATGGGGACTTCCCATCCCTAGGTGACCTAAGGACCCAGGTCAGTGGGAATTTGCTTACAGAAAGACCAGCATGAGTGTCCAGAGAGACAACTACCAAAAGTCTGAATTTTTTGTCACTTTTAAAACCATGAGTGTTTCTTCTCACTCATTCATAGTAACATAAATGATATTAAGCAGTGAACAGAATATGCGCTATGGTGATACCATAAATTCTACATTTAAAAAATCATGCCAATTGATTAATTGCATGCTGCATAAATCTAAACAAAAAACCACATAAATCCTCAGAAAACATGATAACTCAAGTGTTAGGCACCAGAGTTGTCATAACAGAGCTTTCATAACATAGTAGTCCATATTCTATATGCTCCTAGAACGCTCAGAACTAAATTCCTTGAAAATGTTTTTCATAAATATGCAATTGATTTTGAAAAGAAAGGTAATGTGATGACCACAAGGCTAATAAACTGAGAGAGAGGTGGCAGATACGAAGAAAAAGCATTTAAAACAGGTTATAGCCAATTACAAGAATAAATGTGGGAACATATTATCAAAGGGATGTCCAGTATCAGGGACAAATCAAATTCTTGCTCCTTCTTATTTCTACTCTATTTGCTATTTATCTTTTCGCTTAAATGTTAAAATCCCACAGGCTGGAGTGCAGTGGCACGATCATGGTTCACCACAGCCTCAGCCCCTGGGCTTAGGTGATCCTTCTGCATCAACCTCTTGAGTAACTGGGACTACTGGTGCGTGCCAACGCACCCAGCTAACTTTTTGTTTATTTGTAGAGATAAGGTCTCATTATATTGCCTAGGCTAGTCTCGAACTACGAGGTTTAAGCAACCCACCTGCCTCAGCCTCCCAAAGTGCTGGGATTACAGGCATGAGCCACTGTGCCTGGTCTTCAAACACCTTTTTAGTATGAATGATCTTAGGAACTGAACTGAAATCCAACATTCACCTTTGATATTTGCCTATTGGTTAACATGATTAGACACAAATGGGAGGAAAAGAAATATTGATGCAAGAAATGAAAATGAAAAGAAATGCTCTGGTCAGTGTCAGAAAGTCTATGTATGCTAAGTGCTAACTATTGAGAAAGTGAGAAATGAGGATTTGTGCCATGTCTGGAAAACATCTTCCTAAGGTTAGAATGTACACCAAACAGCCTCACGGTTTCTGCTGATACAACATCCATGTCCAGATACTCTCAAGCTATCTCCTTAAACTCTAAATGGTGAAAAAATATATCAAACCCTTTATCTAACATTGTAATTTTAATTGGAATTAAGCTCGTATCGATAACACCTGGAAAAAAATATAACACTGCAAAACAGCCATCCAAACATATTTTGTAATAAAAAGAAAAAACATGAATATGATTTTTAGAGATCTTTCCAGCACCTGACACAGTGCCTGGCATGTAGTTTCTTGAATGCAATTGACCCTTTGGCTTGGATAGAGAGTACAATATTAGAGAATTGAACAGGGATAATTCAGACAGTATTTTTGGCAGGATACAGCTGGAAGCTAGAAGGATCTTTTTAAAAAAAAAAAACTTTTAAAAACTCACTTTAAAAAATCTATTTTTATTTTAGAGTTATGGCATACATATAAAGATTTGCTGCATAAGTAAATTGTGTGCAGGTGAGGTTTAGACTTCTAGTGAGCCCTCTCTCCCCTGGTAGTGGACACAGTATCCATTGGGTGGTTGTGTGCTCCTTAACCTCCCTGCTTCCTTCCTCCTTTAGCAGTACTCAGTGTTTTTTGTTCCCACCTTTGTGCCTGCATGCCCAATATTTAGGGCCAGCCTATGAGTAAGAACATTCAGTATTCAGTTTTTTATTTCTGTGATAGTTCACTTAGAATGATGGTCTCTAGCTGCAACCATGTTGCTGCAAAGGACATGATTATTTTCCTTTTCTTTTACTCACTTTGATCTTGCATTTCCTAGCCCCTTCCTTGCCTTATTCTATTGTATGATGCCGCAGCACTCTTCAAGCATTAAAACACACTTAAGCCTTCTGGAGAATTTCCTTCTATGCCCACTATCATTTTACCCTAGTCACATAGATGCTGACTTCTCTTCTCTATATTAGAGTGTTGCATTTAATTCTTTAGTGTTGGAAAAGGTGTTCTATAGATGATATATGGTTCAGGACTTGCAAACTAGCAACTTTCAGACAGAATCTGATCCACAGATTTGTTAATTTTTTTTGTAGGGCTACATAAGTTTTGAATAAAAATGTTTTAAAATGCAAGGCAAATATCCTCTGAATTAGCTACTGTTCCCAGTACTGGTCTATTTCACTTACTCTACCTGGTTTCAGTAGACCTAAGGATTTATGATTCTGCAATCTCCTTAATCTACCAACAAGAAAATGGAGGGTAAGAGAGGCTGCATGACTGAATGGAGACAGTTAGTTAAAGCCGATCAAGACCTGAACTTGGGTCTCTGGAATTCAAGGTCTAGGTTCTGTACCACTCTGTCATTAAGTAACCATACATCCCAGGAGGAGGTGTGTGATGGGAGCAGTGCTTCTCAAACTAGGTAATACCTGGACTTGCATTTAATATAATTTAAATTAACAATGTAATTTTATAGGGAAGATTATGCTTTTCTGCAGCCACAAACATTTCAATATTGAGTGTATTCATAGAAGTAGTTCAACTCAGGTGTTGTCCTATACTTAATGTTTCAGAATTTTGACTTTAATAATTTGAATGTAGAGAATGCTTGTTTTCACAAACACATTGGACAAGAGAGTATCAAATGACTTCAAGCTTCTTTATCTTGGTTAAGGTTATTCAGATCTCCGATTTATCTAAAAGCTCTGCTCAGAAGTAACATGCCATTTAAAATGAAGTGTCACCTAAAATCAAGCAAAACTGTCTTGTTAACATGAGGATAAAGTTCACATTATTGCTTCTCTGATGGGTATCAAATCAACTTATTGCTGGAATTGGGTGGAAAAAAAGCACTGCTACCCTCTTGTAGTTTTTCAACAAATATATACAAAGATGGGCATATTTGCAACACAATCTATTGCAATGTGAACACAGTACTACTTGCTGTGGGACAAATTGTTTTGCATTTGAAGATTCACTACAGTTTGAATGTAGAAGTATTAAGTGGTTACCCAGAGGTTCCTGAATGGGCACACATTAATGGTTTGTATTGTTATCAAATTTAAAAAACATTGAAACAAACGTATGGACTCCAAAAATATGTTCACAGACATGTACATAGAAAAAAGATCCTGGGGTTGAAAGTTAGATTCCCTTGGTTCTAGCCCCCAACCTTCAGTAATTAGTTGCATGACTTCTTTCAGGATAACGTATCCTCATGAATTTCATTCTTTTCATCTTCAATTATGAGATAATTGAACTAGATGAACTTTAAATTCTCAAAAATCCCAAATTCCGTAACTGGTTATAACTCCTTTCATGTTTACACTTGCTATACCTTCCTTTCTTTGTAGTTCCACTATCCAAAATAAATAAATAAATAAAATATATTTATCAAATAGTCAATGAAATATTCCTCACATGTATTGCCAAAAAAAAAAAAATTCTGAAAATTGGTGTAAGAAGGCCTGTAATCTAATCTAATTTCAAATTGTCTTGCAGGGAGCACTAGGGTGGGCCTCAACAGGCACCATGGGAGGCAGTTTGAGGAAAAGGGGCATGGGCTCCCCCTCTTTGGTTCAAAGAGACGCTCCCCTTACATCTCTATATATTGAGAGTTCTACATGTGTAGTTTGAAAACCTACCTGATACATCTTACACACATCCCTGGGTTCTCCTGGATGTGTGGAGCCATGGTCTTCTGGGCCTTCAGCTGCTTGCTTTAGCTCAGCTGTTACTTTGGCTGTGCCTCCCCAGGGGGCTGTTCTCCATCCCACCACCATGCCCATGACTATGCTTGGGTCCTCATGGGTCTTCTACCTAGGGCTGGCTAGCCTTCCACTTGCCCACTTGGCTGCCACTGTGCATATAGGCCTAATTGCCACATGTCCAGAGATTGTGGCTGCTAAGGTCATTTTTGCGCTGGTGTGCAAAGCCACACCACGGGGAACGGATCTGACTCTCAGATCAACTGCCAAAGAAGGTGGATGAAATAATGCAGAAGTTGTTTCCTTTTGGGGTGATCTGTGATCAACAGAATAGGAGATGGGAAGATAATTTCCCATACCTTCTTCCCTCTTACAGATGATTCCAAAACATGGTTCTCCATGTTGCCTGTTCACATGTGGCCATGTGAGTGTACCTGCTAAGCAAACAACTGTGTCACTAAAACACAGGAAACAGTGACCAGCCCAGTAACATATTATCTTGGATTATTTCCAAGTCTTCCCTGCCTCATGTTCTTTCTCTCACACTCCCA